GAAGAAAATATCTTGACTGTGCTAACCAGTGTTCATTAGTGGTGGGGTTAATCCTGAGGTTAATGTATATGCCTCAGACTTTTTGTATAGACATTTATGCATATCAATCATTCTGCCTTTATTATTTTTAAAGATTTCTTTATTTATGCATACAAAAACTGGGGTACAAACCAGAGATGTGGATGTGTGAGAGAATTCACCAGAGACAGAGTGGGGAGCAGAATAGGCAGATATGCTGAAATACACTACTGAGGGGAGCAATGGGTGGGTCAGGCGAGGTCTGCCACTCCATTTGGGTCACCTCCCTGGCTGGGAATTGAACTTGTGCCGCAGTGGCTGATGATAGCTTGATAGTGCTGCACTTTAACCCGTTGCACCACCATGGAGGGCCCAGACTTTCTGCCTTTATTGTCATGAATTTTCATAACATCTCTGCCAGGATTGGATTTTTTTCCTTCTCCTATTTAATGGATGAGGAAATGGATGCCTACAGAGATGAAATGGCTGATCACAGAAGTGGTGAAGTGGGCATTCAAATCTGAAGTTTGTTACTATTGCACCCTTAAGCCAGCGGAAACCTTGGAGCATCTGTTCCTGGAGGTATCAGGCAGAATGTGAGGCTGCTGGTGGCCTCCCCAGTCCTGGGAGCCAACAGCTTTGTAGGAATGAAGGTGCTGGGAAGGTGAGGAAATCGGGGATTCTGTTTCAAGGACAAGCTGAGTTATGGGACCAAAGGGGCAAAGTCAGAAAGGGTTGGGCTCAATGCTGGGTCACAGTAAAATCTCTAGTGTGGAACATTAAGTTGGGAACTCTCCGAGCATCGATCAGGTTATCAATTTCTAAGTCTGGAGCACCATGGGGACTTCTGAGGAAACACACTGCAGGAGGCTATCACTGCCTGTGCTGTACATCATTTATATTATATCAATATGGCAGTGGCTGTTGTACAACTAGGCAGTGTCAGACATGAAGGGTGAAGGTCGGATGGGCTGGGTAGTCACTGTGGAGATGTAGATCAGATGAGTAAGGTGGGGGTGATGTGACAAAGTGTTCAGAAGTTGGACAGAACGGGACGCCAAAGGCTGCAATCTAGAGAGGAAAGGGAGAATGGGATATTGTGTAATGAAAACCATAGAAAGCGCTCCCTTGTGGGGAGGGGCAAGGAGCAGTTTGGGGAAGAGCCTCAATGGCCTACAGGGGCTTAATGTAGCATTGGCTTGAAAGGAAAGCCTGGGTAACATGAAGTTGTTGAGAAGTCAGATTTAACAGCTCCTACTTTTTATCTGTAGATGGTTTATTTTACTTCCTGAGTAGGAGAGTTTAACTGTATCCATGAACTCTCAGTACATGCATGTGTGTTGAACTGCAGTGGCACAGAGGGTTGTGAGTCTTAGGTAATCATTAGTAGAGAAACCAGTGGAAGGTTGAAGGTGGTAGGCCAGGAATGGTCATGTCCCATTTATGACAAGCTTCCTTTCCACTCTGGGTACCACTAGTCCAAGTCCTGCCATCACCTAGGGGTTTCACTGGCTCTCGTCACCTTATGAAGTGGTTCTATTACCACCTAACCTTCAAGTCAGAGAAGAAAGGTCACCCCATTATTGAGTGTCAGAGGCAGGATTTGAACTTCAGACACTCTGCAGCCAGACCCTATATTTTTAGGACAAATCAGATGAAATTTTCTTTTTCTGAGATGGAATATCCACCATCTAGGATATTTTGACACTTTTGGGTCCTAAGAGTTTTCTAGCAGTAAGCAGATCCTGCTGTTCCAGTGAGCAGTAGTGTGACTCACTGCAATGTGGTGTCCTGCCTCTTATCACATGTCATGCCATATGAGAAAGAAATCGTTCAGAGAAAAAACTGATGAGTGTGTGAGATTTTCAGATCTGCAGAAGTTATTTGAATGGATTTTCTTCAGGTAAAAGATACTGGATGAAGACATAGAAAGGGATGGGTGAACTGCTTGAGAGAAACAGCATGTTTCTGGTACATGATGTTGAATCAATGGTGAACAGAGAACTCACCCTTGTGCAAGATTTCACATGGCTCCCTTCTTGTGCCTACATTCACCACTCGTCAACTCCAACCTTAAGTACACAGTTGAAAATTTCAACCAGAGCAAATGGTGCTGCAGTGAAAAACATGCAGCATCTGCCAAAGTTGTTCTTCCCTGGCACAGCCAGGTGACTTCCGGTGTGCTGCTCGTACTTCCTGGATCCTCTGTTAAGTGGCAGACTTATTCCGTCCAGCTTTCTTTCCAGGAGGTAAAGGGATCTTAACCGCTTACAAAAGGTAAGTCTTTGTGCACTTAAAAAGAGAGAGGGAAAAACTTGGTTCACAGCAGCAAACAGAAGGTTTCAACTGGTAGGATAAAGAGGGAACCCATGGGATGGCCAGTTGGGAAGGCTCATCTTAGTGGGATTGTAGAGGGGTCAAAGAGGGAGAGTGAAACATTTCCCTGACACTCTGCCCAAAGCTGGCAGAGAGCCTGAGTTTCTACAGAAGCCACATCCCAGTGTCTCTACACTCTGACTCAGAGCCTTCACCTGCCACACAGGGCGATTAGCACCTACGCCCCCACCACAGCTGTGGGCTTCCTGCCCTTGCCTGCCCTGGGTCTCTCTTTGCCTCATTCCACTGGCCTCCTGCCTTTCCCTCTTTTTTGGAACAACTGTGGATAATCCCCGCTCACCATCCTTCCCCCTTCCCAATACTCCCACCTGCCCCTTCTGATTCTGGGCCAGCAGCTGGTCACAAGCAGTGCCAAATCAAACAGATGTGTGTGGTACTGACTGGCACATGTTCAGGCCCTGTCCTGTCCTGCACGGGGCCACTGACAGAAGGCTGGGACCCTTTTCCAGAGAGCCTGGTGGGTCCAGAGTGATGATCAGATGTCATGTCTTTTGGCCATCTCTGTCTTCCCCTTATCTGGCAATTCTTTTTTCTTTCTTTTTAGTTCAGTACTTCTTCCCCATCACTGTCATTCAGTCATTCTTCCTCATTAAGCTCCTGAACTTTTTAAGGATGACAATAAAAAAGGGGGCAAACCATGATCTTTGCAAGCAAGTTTCAAGTACTCCCAGATAATAAAACACATCACAACAGGTCAGAAACCTGCCAGAAGAAAAATAACAGCTGGTCTTGCTCACCACAGGCCATCTAAGCCCAAGATCTTAAAGATGTCACTTCCTTCCTTCCTTTCTTCATAAGTGGCATGTAAAAATTCATGGTAATTCTCAGAAGTAGGTACCCTTGCAAGTGTCTTTGATTTTTCTGTACAATTGGCTAATTCTACTCACTCCCACCTACCTGTCTAAATGGAGATGACTTAAAAACAGAGGCAATTAACCCAAGAGCCCTGTGGCAGATCAAAGCCCTGGGAGCATTGAAATCAAGTTGAAAATAAAATTAGCAGGTCTAGCATAATGATACAAAGATTGCTTAGTGTTTTAAAGTAAAGTATGTATTTCCTGATAAATGTAAAACAGCCTGAATTCTGCATAGCTGCGAGCTGAGAAAAAGGCCTAAGGGAAAGGGAAAACAAACAAAATATAGTTTAGCAGTTAGACATGGGGCTTCAAAAAGTGGTTGGCAAGGTTGGTAATGGCCAGTGCCCACTTGAATGACGCAAAATTCCACAGAAATCCATGACTTTGCCTTGGTTGCTAGACCCTCAGATGCAAGACCATTGAGGTAGGGCTCGCAGAGGTTTCTGCATACGGCTTAAGAAAATGCTGCATTTAAGACATCTCAAATTATAACAACGTGTTTCCCATTGTATCCTGACTTCCAGGAAGCTCAGAGCTGATTCTGATGGGTAACTCAATAGCCACATTACCTTTGCTATTTCTTTCTTGCTTTAATCTAAATTTCACGTTCTGAGTTTTCTTGTTTGGTTGGTTTTTTAGACCTCAGTGTCTATCTTCTTTGATGTTATAAATCATTCCAAAATTCTTTTTGGGAAAAAGAATGGTCTACTAACTAAAGAGAGCTACATAAAAATGACTTCTAATAATGATGACGATAATGAATCCTGACACTTCACTTTCTACCTTTAATTAGTTATTTATGTCCTTGTTGTAAGGTCCTCATTAGACTACAGATTCCCTGAGGGCAGAGCTGGACCTGCTGTGTCCCTGCACCTCCCCTGGGGTGAGTGTTTAGTAAGAATCTGTTGGATAAATACAGCCTTAGGATTAATTTTAGAGGAAATAGAATGAGGGCTTCTTCCCCTTTTCCATGCTATTCCTTCCAGCTTTTTCTCTCCACAGAGAAGACTATTGTTGGAACTTTTGCACTCAAGCAACTCTGAGCTAACCTACAGGGGCCACTTCTATCGGCTGGGTGAGAAGTTATGTTCTCCTCTTTCCCCTTTGAAGCCCATCATAAATTTTCTTCCTCTGCGTTGTCCTCTCCCTCTTCCTGCATAATACTCAGTAATGTTCTCGTACATAAATAATAACCACTTACATTTACATAAGCACCAGTAACGTTGGCATATTCTTTCCAAAAAGGATTGGAGATGGACATCTTAGAGGATTTTTAAATTTTACAACGTACTCTCAGATGCCACGGCTGCCACTATTAGCTAATATTTATTACGTACTTCCCATGTGCCAGGTGCTGGGCAAGGGCTTTTTGTACACTTTCTCACTTAGACCTTACAGTAAACCTATGGGGAGCTACTGCTGCTCTCCCCGTTTTCAATACCAGGAAACTATGAAGTCTGGAACTTGCCCAGGGTCACGCAGCCAGGAGAGGGAAGGACTGGGGATCGAACACTAGCCTCTTACTAACTACAAAATCCAGGCTCCTTAACCTCTGAATACCTTTTATCCCCGTGGGTTATTAGTTCAACTCAGTGAAACCAGCAAAGTGGGGGTGAATTTCTGTTGTACAGATGTGAGAAAAATGAAGCACAATGTTCCTTTACCTACTGAGCCCCAGAAATAATGCTTTGCTCAGTCTCCTCTGATTCCCCCAGGTGTTCCTCAAGGTGGACACTGATGCCTGCGTCACAGACCAGGACAGAGCTGCGAGAGTGGAGTTAACTTGCAGAGATCACTCGGACAAGAGGCAGGACTGGATCCCGGGTCTGTTTGGCTCTGAAATTCTTCATTTTTTCCATTGTGCACATCAAGGAAGCCGACCCAAGATCACGTGGTGGGTTACGTAAAAAACAACACCAAATTCCCTCTCCACTGGAGTTCTTTCAACTGCCTTTTTCAAATTCTAGTGTCCTGCTGGGGTCAAAAAGTGCAGTGTCTGTCTGGCTCCTGAGTGTCTTCCCCATGTGACCTTGGAAGGTGGGGGGGGGAGCATCTTATTATGACTTGACAGGGCGAATGCAATTGAATTTCCATCTCATTCAGAGCAGAGAGAGAATAGCTTTGGGAATGAGGCTAGCTTGAAACAAGGGCTCCTGAAGCTAATTAAAAGCTAGGCTGGAGCTGTGCTTTTCATTCCTTAAGAATGTTCGACCTCATTAAATAGGAAAAAGCAAGTGGAATTTTCTGATTTTTTTTTTTTTTTGAGGTTCTGAAGGGGGTGGGGATTCTGAGCAAGCAAGGCTATTTCTACACTTGCAGGCTGCACACTGCCTGAAAGGACATGATTGTTGGGAGGAATACTTACTTACCTTCCCAGGTGCTCATAGCCTCAGAGGATTGTGCCTTGGCAAAGGAGATGCAGAAGGATGTGATGATCCCTTAATGGGGCTTCCAACTCCCTGGATACCCCCTCTGGTCATCGCTGGGGCTGGACAAAGGCTTCACAGGATCAAGCACACTGGGGCAAAATGTTGGTCTTTGGAAAGGCCTCCCTTGGGCTTTTTCACAGACACATGAGCTAACTTGCCCTTGTGGCCAACAAGGTTCCATTCAGAAGAAACAAAAAACTTCAGACTTTCCGGGTGGTCTCTGGATGGACTAGAAGAGTTGAAAACATTGATCTAGTGCTTGGATTTAGAGCTCACAGTGTCCAGAAGTAAATCAAAGGTCACAGGATGCCAGGACTATGAAGATATGAGAACAAACAGAGGCTCAGCCTGGAAATCTTTAAGTTTTGATGTAAAAACCTCTACTTATGGGTCACAGTAGGGTACCAGATACTGGGCTAGCAATTTTACATTTGTTATATCTAATCTTTTCAGCCACCCTGCAAAGTAGGTGTGATTGTGATTATACTCACTTCAGAAGGGAGGACACCACGGCGCTGGCTATGATCTTCTTCATGGCTCCTGGTTCTTGCTCAATTAATAGAGCACAGTCAGAGGAATCCTAGCTTTGCAAAGTATCAGAACTGAAAGGGAAATTAGAGGTCATGTCTACCTCCTGAGGATAATGATGAAAAAAGATCCAAAGCCAGAAATGTAAATTAATTTGCTCAAGGACACAGAGCAGAGCTGGCACTTCCCCAGAGCCCCTAAGTTACAGCATAGCCGTCTCTTCTCCATGTAACAGCAGGACAACACAGAGATGTAATCTCTGTCTGAGAAGAATGGAACAACTCTCAATGCCTGCCCCAGCTCCATCTTTAAGCAGTGACCACTGCAACTAGCAGGTTTCAAAGGGCATCTCCCTTGACCTGCTCAACAGCTCTTAAAATGAGGGAAGGGGAGCCTATGCATTTTGGAAAGACAAAGTACTTTAGCAGTAATGAAATGGACATCTGTGTTTATAAACTGTTTTAAGCTATTCAGAAATGGTGCAAAAGGAGAGTAAACTTTTTCGGTATTTCTTATTTCTGATATCTTGCGACTTTAAGCATCATGCAAGGCTGAATCTTCCCTTCAACCTATGGGTGAGTTTGCTATTCTTGTTCCTTTTGTTTTCTCCACCACCCTTGGGGTTCCAGTGAAAAACACGTCTAGAAATTCCTGGTCTTATCACAAAGTTTCTAAGGAGTATATAGTGTACACTTATAGCCATAACATAGACACCAGCCTCTTTGAGCCACATGCTGTATTATCTGCTATGTAAAAATCTTTAAAATGGTTATACCTGTGGGGAATGGCTGCAGACCCCTATACTGGTCAGTGAAGTAATCTCAGGGCTGAGAGAGTTTCCAAACTATTTTCTGAATCAAATCATGCCTATTTTTCATCTAATCAGAGGCCTCAGAAATTCTCAGTGAATGAGCTTATTGGTCTAGAGATAGGATTATTTGCAAGGACACAGAATAAGTAGTACTCAGTTCTATTTTTCAGTTTGAATGTTCTTTATGAAACAGTTTTATTAATCTGTTAAGTGAATAAGATAGTGAATAAGCCCATATTTCTAAATGTTTCCAATTATAAAGTCCACTCTCACACAAAGGTCTCCAAGCTTGTTTCAGTCCTCCTGTTCCCTGTATTTCAGTCACTTGATGGCTTGCTGACCCCTCTTATTTATCATGAAATATCCACTTAAAGTAACACTAATTGCACCTTCTTCATTTTGCTGTGTGTTCTACACTCTTATCAAAGAAGAATTAAAGACTTGAAGTTAAATTTTCACATATATTTTCCCACTTAACCTTCAAAAGCACCCTGGGAAATAGATAGGACATAAGTTCTCATTTCCATTTTGCAGATGAGCAAACTGAGGCACAGGCAGGTGAAAATCAGATAGAAATCACATCATGAGTTAGATACAGGACCAATAAGTCTCCTGAAAACCAGTTCATAACGTTTTCCTCTATATTGTATGGGATTAATGCGTAATTCTCTTATATTTGGAGTATATGTTTGGCTACTTATGCTTTTTCCCAAGGTGGGAAAAACACCTGGCTGTTGCGGTCATAACCACATACCTCGTGTGCGTCCAAGCTTCCCTGCCTTGATTCATTCTGTTCCCTCTGCTGGGAATACCCTCCCCTCCCCTTCTCCAAATGAACAACTCCTCCTAATTCAGTCTAAGGCCAACTCAAATCACACCTACTCTCCTCACGCCCCTTGGTTAATTTCCTCTTCTATGTCTCCACGGTGCTTTGCGTGCCATCACACAGAACAGGCAGGAAGCCACAGCCAGGTGTTTCTCCTGGAATCACGGGAGGGAGAGAAGCAGTGACCCTCTAGCCAGAGCTAGAAGGGAAGCTGTTGAGATCCAGAATCCAGATCCAGAATCCAAATTTTATTTTTTTGTATTTTCCTCACTTAACACAGTACATGGAATATGGTAGACATTTAGTAGATATTTTATTAAAAGCTGTCCAGGGCTTAAAAATTAGACTCTTTCTAAAGAAACAAACAAAAAAAGAAGGTAAGAAGTAATTTAGTCAAATTGGAAACTGGGGTCTCAGTCTTCAGATTGCAAAGTTAATTTTTCAGGCTACGGATAGCTTCCTACAAATGCTATGTGTCTGAGGTGATTACGTACACTGAGGCTGAGGGACTCTCAGAAGCTCAAGTGGGAACGGGTCTACTAGAAGTTCCTGTTCTGAGCTCCTTTAGCTCACACCTCACAGTCAAAAGCTGGTGTGCCCTGTCCTGTTGCCTTAATGCAGATTTTTCCTTCTAAATGTCAAAAACAGATTAGATGGAGAAATGAACTGAGTGTGTGTGTATGTGGTATGTGTGGGGGGGGGGCAGGGGGTGGGGGGGGCAGGAGTCCCAGAATAGACTCCAGTTTGATAACGATTTATCCTATTTCATTGTTAATTTTGCAATTAAGCAAGAGTACTTTGTATGCCTGAATGACCCATGGATTGTATCTTAATCAAATTAATGTGCCTGTAACATAAGACTGATTCTGGGTTTAACTATTAGGGTGACAAATGATGCAAAGCCCCAATTTTTTCTCTCCTTTCTCTCCTCTCCCCCACAAAACTCTCCATCATAAAAGGTCAACCGACTGAAAGCCTGTTGTTTTGATGACTGATATGAAATCCTATTGGTTGAAACTGTGAGAAGGCGGGCTACCTACCCTCACCCCACTTCAAACCAACTGTATGTGTCTGTGACAGTGTATGTGTAAGTTTGGATGACAAAAAAAAAAAAAAATGTGGTTAATTCTTCTTGTTGTATATTTCCTGCCACTGACATTTGTTGCTGCTGCTGTGTAATGAGGTTGAGGCTGGGTAGAGAATCGGATACAAATGACCTATATACTTATTCCCCAATTATGGCTACCTTTCTCAACTGTTCTTGGAGAACCTGGAAAGTAGAAAAGGTAACCAGGAAGACATTTACATGTTTTGCTCTAATAAAGCAAGCACTTAGGACTTCAGGTCATCTTAGTTAATGAGAAATTTGAAAAAAAAATGGTTCTGTTTAATAAAATGATGTATTCTTAACATGAATCATAATGGTTCTTACCAAAAAAAAAACAAACAAACAAACAAACAAAAAAACAAACAACAACAACAACAAAAAAAAAAACAATACAAAACCTGGTAATTTGAGTCAAGGACTAGGGCTCTGTTAAACTCTTACCCAGAGTGCGATTAATCATATTTTAGGATCTTGAGCTTTAGTCTCCCATACTCATCCAACCCATTTCCCACAATTAGTAATTTTTCAAAGTTAATCACATCACCTCTCTCCCTGTTTGAAAGGCTTCAATGGCTTCTCATTGCTCTTAGCACTTCAAGGTCAGTGTCCTTGCCAAGGTTTAGAAGACCTATGTAGAATCATCCATCTTGCCTTCTGACCTCTCACGTACCCCAACCCCTTTGTTTAAAGGGCCCTGGAGTTCCAGCCTCAGGGTCTTTGCACAGCTGTTACTACTGCCTGACTTTCCTTCTTTTACTTCCCCAGTTCACAACACAATGTTCCTCTTCAGACAGAACACTTCTTTTGACCCATCTACATAAACTGTGCCATCCCTTCTGTTATTTTTCCTCCAACTTTCCTATGCTTTTCCTCTCATTAATATATCATAACTTGTGACTTAGTATTTATTTGGAGGCTAGTTTTGTTTATCATCTGTTTTCACATTAATTTGTAAACTTTATATCTGCTTTGTTTGCCTCTAAATCAGCTTTTGGGCATATAGTGAAAGCTTAATTAATATGTATTAAAAGAAAGAATGGTAACCTATTGGGTTTCATCTAAAAACTATACCCATGAGATCATGTTAACCATCTTTATTCTACAGTTAGATATGAATTCATCTTGACATTTGTTCCATTCAACTTTGAGATGTTAAGATACAGGTTGGTCATGGAAGGGGTGTGAGATTCAGACTTTTTTGTTTTTTGCCCTCTGATCACAGTTCACTGGTCTTATTATAAGGATTAGATGTGATCCATGTTCTTCATCCTATGCCAGGGGCGAGGCTTACTACACCATCACAGCATCTTCTTTCTTTCTTTCTTTCTTTCTTTCTTTCTTTCTTTCTTTCTTTCTTTCTTTCTTTCTTTCTTTCTTTATCCCCTTCATTACTTCTGCCTTTAAAAAGCCAGGTAAATCTAGGGAACATGGAAATCAGCAGTTCAGGACTCACAGTTCACCATTCCTTCCTTCACTAAGTGTTCCTTGTTGACACAATAATCTTGGAGATGCTAAAGGAGGTGTTCAAGGCATTGAGGAAGGTACCGGGTGCATAATGCCAGTGTTTTCCCAATCTCTTCTCAAAAACCCATGGCCTGTGGCCTTCTGATGCCTTCCCTTTCCTTTTGTTGCTCCGAGCCCTGAGGTGCCAGAGCCTAGAGTTTATCCAGGTGTGTGGTCCCAGGTCTGTGATGTCTTCCTAGCCCAAGAATTTCTCCTGAGAAATATACAAACCCGAGAGAAGGTCAGAGTAAAAGCGTCAAAAGGATCTACTCATCTTCAGGAAAGTCAGTAAGTAGCTCTGAATTTTGATATATTTATAGATATAAATGGGGTTCAAAATACCAACATTACAGAACATTCAAGACTAAATCCCATTGGAGTGCTGTAACATCAAGAATTTAAACTGATTATTAAGCTGTCATTTTGGCTTCTCCCTGCTCTTTTGTGGTCCCTTCAGAGTCCACATAACTTCTTCAGCTCAGGATAGGAGGAGAGTGTCCTTACTGGCTTACTTACTTGTCAGAAAGTGGGAAGATGGGTTGAGCTTAGAAGAAGAGGTAGTCAGAGTGTTGACCTCATGTTGGACTTTCCATCTCAGTCATATGCATGTGCTGAATTTCAGTCTCTAGATTGCCAAGATGTGAAGAGTTTTTAATGGTAAGCAAATTCAAACCTCTCATTCACTCATAATGAGCAGTCTAGTAAAGAAAGTAAGCTTTGCTTGGAGCATTCCAACTTTGGGATTTTGCAAACATTTCATCTATACTTCCCAAGGGAGAAAATCCTAGAAAGAATGTGAGATGACCAGAAGAGAAACAACGATGCAACTGAATCACTGTTCATTCCATCATCAACTGGAAATTTAAATTTATTGTGTTGGCCTGGAGAATTTCAGTGAATGGGTTCTCAATCCAGTGAGTTTGGAAAAAAAAAAATCAGTTCCCTTAAACCCTAAATTCCCTGAGTGAAAAACTAATTTGATGGGGGATGTGGAAAGATACTATAGGAGGAAGTATCTTGGGCAATATGATGCCTGCCTAGGAGACTTGACTAGGCTGAAAACATTTAAAAGGGGTGAGAACCAGCTATTTCTCTCCAACACTGTGTGCCTTCTAATAGAGGTCGATTTTTGGTTCTGCTGCCTTGGCTTTTTCCTATGTCTGCCATGCAGAATTCTACTAAGGTTCTCAGGCTGGGAGAGAGCTTCCAGCTCTGTGCCAGATTTCTCTTCTGGGATTTCCACTCCTTGAAAGGTGCCAGCCTGGAATTCAAGAGTTGGCCAATTTGACTTAGTAGATCTGAGTTCATGTGCCAGCTCTGTCATTTACAGGTAACAGTCCCTTGCACTCTATCAGACACATAGTTAAGTGACTTTGCCTGCCTATATTTTTGCATATATTGTATATGCAGGTTCCATATTGGAAACTGCAGAAAAAAAGCTTCTTTCTCACAGAGTCATTAGGAAAGATTATGTGAGATTTTGAAGATTGCCTGGCATTTGGTTGACAGTCAAGTCTAGTTGGTGGCCTTTCTTGTGCCATCTCCCCACATGCCACATGTACTGTGCTGTCAGTGGGTCCTGGTAAACATCAGAGGCTAGGAGGAAGATGGAGGAGAAAAGTTTCAGGTAGAAAAAAGTCTTAGGGATTTAAAAAGGAAGGCAAGGAACTTCCATTACCACATTAATTTGGAATAGGAAGGAGTCTTTACTTTGGAACTTGCACCAAAGTTTGACTAGACAGAGGATAAGAAGGACCTGGACATGACATTGAAATTGTCAACAAATTTTCTAGTATGAATTTATGGATTTTGAAATACACCAAGAGCTCCAGAGGAAGAGAGACATTGAGACTGGGGGTTATCAAAACTGTGGAACATTGTTTCTCAAAGGATGTTCCAGGTTCCACCTACATCAGACCCAGCTGCAGCATTCAACAAACAAAGATTACTGGAGAAGGCCTAGAGAACAGCTAAAGAGTTGTTAAATATTTCATACATGAAATGAGCACAGAATATAAATTTAAGTCATCTTTTAAAATACATGGTATTCAAGAGATGCTGTCTGAATATTCCTGATGTGACAGAGGACACAATTGCTGAAGAAGAGGGAAGAGCTCCTTTGTCTGTCAGCTCCATGCCACCCCCCCTTTACCCCCAGCATACCTAATTTTGTTTGTTTTGTTTTCTGGGAGGAATGGTACAAATGAGGCCCAGCCTTCTTCTTATATTTTTCCTTTTCTTCTTTTTTACTTTAATTCAGGACCAAAAAAGCTTTCATCGAAAGAACAGATGTCATCTGCTTTGGTCTTTTGTGGTGGTTTTATTTTATTTTATTAAAATAAATTCTCCTGCAGATGAGGTTCATTTAAACATAATGACTACGCAACAAAAGCCCTTGCACAGAGAAGCTTCAGATTCCGTTTGACTCAGGGGAGGGTGACCAAACAAGGAGATGGCCTGTCCATTTGGCTCCCCTCAATGGGGCCCCAGCAGCTGCATTTCAGATGCAAATGGGAGATGAGGGTGGAGGGGGTAAGGGGGAAGGGGGAGGGAGAGGGGGAGAGGCGTGGAAATGCCCAGGAAGCTGACATGCAGGTGTTGAAGATTCCAGACATCCCTGAGACAACAGACTCTGAAAACACAGAGCTCACAGACAGTGCGGTGTTGAGAGCGCTCGCTCAGAGGGCTCAAGTGGAACCACAGCTGCACTGGACATTCCTTTTCCTAGTCATCAATGGGCCCTGTATTGAAAATACAAGAGCCAGCAAATGGCATGTTCAGAGAAAGGAAATGCTTTGGAAAGGAAGCAAACTCCAGGCTAAGAGTGCTTTCCCTGGACTAGCCTCATTATTTAAATCTGCGTACATGGGTAAAATGGATATGTCATATATGACACTGGCATCCTGAGGCTAGAAGGAAGCACTAAAATGCTCAAATCCATCCCTCTTGCTTTATAAGGGAGGAAATAAATGTGTGTTCGGGGTGAGGGTGTGCTACAGGGGAGTCACTGGGTCCTGCAGAGAGAGAATGGAACAGAGAACACAAAATGCAGGCAGTGACGTGTATTGAGTCCTCGCCGTGCTAGACAGTCTGTTCTATATTTTCTGTGCATGAGTTTGTCTAATTTGCACAACAAGCCTAAGAGAGTTTCCACTATTTCTATTTTTAATATGGGGAAATTGAGGCTTCGGTGATTTCAAAACTTGTCTCAAGTCATAAAGCTAATAAGCCTTTAGGATTTGAAGCTAGGTTTGTATATCTTATTCCAAAACTCAAGCATCTCTCATTATACTTTATTCCTGATGACCCATAAGTACATATTCTTGGCTCTTAAACACACACATACATTTTGTTTCTATAATATATCCCTCTGTGTAAATGCACACACACACACACATATTAAAACCTTGAAAAATAAAACATCTTGACTTTAGACATAAAATGTTAAGATGCAGCACTGTTGAATTAAGCTATGGAATAGTTATATTAGCTACACCCCTCATATTATGTCTGGCACATAGTATGTGCTCAATAAATATTTGAGTTTGAACTGTCCTTTGTATTTGAAAATCTGCTTTTCATAAGAAACACTATTTTTTTTTAACTCAGCACATTTGCATTGCACCTGTGTCCACATGGCATATTTACTGCATCCTGGTAGCACCTATGTAAGGAAGGTAAGGAGGGCCTCCACTTTTGTTTCATAGATTACAATAATGAGGTTAAGCTATCAAAAATATTTTCCAGATGAAGTTGGGTGGTGACTTGGGCCTGTTCAGGCCAGTACATAAGTAGAAACTGTTTAGTGAGGGGCAGGCTTG